TCAGAGTAGAGTCTTGGTGTGTCACTGTGGATTACTGCACTGAGCTACAAGGTCAGTATAAACCACAAGGTCAGTGGTTCCAGCTCACCAACCTATACAGAGGAGCTCTGAGACACAACTGACTTGGTAGCACTTACCAACAACTGCCCAGAGTAAAGCATTCCCATATGGGTGGGTGGTGACCTGAGAGAAGAGAGGAGTCTACATTTCTAAGTCACATTCAGCAGTAACACAGAGCTGAGTACAATATGAGAAATGCTGATGCCCTACCTCTCCTAGGAAGACACCCTTCCAAAGGGAAGCTGGAAGACAGGGAGTCCTGTTGTGATATTCCCATTTGAATGACTTAGGAAAGAGAGGAAGGGAAAGAATCTTATGGGGGGTTGTTTTTTTTGTTTTTTTTTTGTTTTTTTTGTGTGTGTGTGAATTATGTTATCGTTTTCATGGGAGAACATTAGCTTTACATTCATCCTATTGTATTTCGTTTCATTGCCATGGATACAATCCCCTTCCATACATCATCAACCAATCAAAGGGTATACCCTGTAAGCCTGTCCCCCCAGTGCTCAGCACACAGCCACTCTCCCTCTCTGGGTCTAGAGTACCCAGCCACTCCATCTCTCCACATCATTGTCTCTGCCTCCATCTCTGAAATCACTGTTTCTCTAGGTAGGGTACAGCACTCTGCTCTTCTCCCTTGATGGTTCCAGGGACCTCCTCTCCTGGACTGCAAAGTCAATCACTCCCCTCCTTTTGTTACAAAAGGTCTACCTTTTACATTTCCAACCCTGAAAGTCAGTTTTGATAGTAATTATTCACTATTGTATCACAAGATACCTATCCACATCTCCTTTCAACAGTCCCGCCCAGACAGAGTGGACACTACTCAGTGGAGATTCTACCTTCCTCCACGCCTTCTAGATCTAGGCTCCCTCTTGAAATCTTGCTTTTGCTGTGCCCCTATTTGGGGTAGCCAATGTCGAAGTTGCCCATCCCTATCTACTCTGTGTATGGAGGGGACGGGAATGATCCTCACTGTAAAGATTTGTTCCCTCTTTTGAGCTAATGCATCCATAGGTGTAGGTCAAGTTCATCACATTGTATCAGATTACTCTTTTTTCCCCTCTTCTTTCTTCTTCTAGTTGAGCTCTGATCATCCAGTCATTGAAGCCAGGTCAAGTGGGTATTATTATCTGCAAGTGTGGGTGTTCTTATGCATATACCCTCTCTTTTTATCAGCTGGATGATTCACTTTCCACTCTAGTCCTCTGTGGCTACATCACTGACTCTGGGGCCAAGATTCCCCAGGTCTTGCCACACTGCTGGCCAACCAGGTCTCCTCCAGGTTCACAGGAGTCTATGGAACGTTGTAGGACTTAGCTCACAGCTTCATTGCTGTTTTCCCCCTCACTTCCCCTTATCAGTGACTAACATGGGCACCAATCAGAACGCATGTCAGTCATGTATTCCCATTGAGTTTTAGTCTTGGAAGGGAGTTTGCCCTGAGGCGACCTGACCACTTGCCTTGAAGTCTCCTGGGCAAGCAACTTGCTTGTTCTTATAGTAATCAGTAAGACTGTCATTATTGTTTTGTATTTTTCCTGTCTTTCTTTCAAGAAGTATCTTCTGTTCTTCTAGTCTCTCCAGGCTGGTCTGCTTGTCCTTTCAAGTGGAAATTTCCCACACCAGATGATTCTGGATGGCGTGTAATGCAGAGGCTCTGCAGGAAGCCTCCTTCACTGGGCATGTTGTAGCCACATTTTAGGTATTCCAATCAGTTATAGACAGAAGACTGACTTACAAGCTTCCTATGGTGATATTTCTTGGTATTCCTTTCTCTCCCCCTCAAGTGTCTATTTTATAATGGTATGCCAGGGAAAGTAAGATTCAAAAGACAGCTAAGCATCTTAACATTATTTCCCCCCTTTTTCCCATTCCAACCATGTCTTAATCCCTGCATCCCAGAGCCCTGTTTTCCAAGGTTGTGCATACATCATTCTTTACCTCTGTCCCACAAGCCCATGCAAACCTGCCTAATCATTCTCCCATCCACCTTGGTAACTGGCAACCAGAAAGGTGTGATCCTTACCTTGTTCCCCACACCTACTCAGTGTAATAAACCCCCACCCTCACCCACTGCGTGGCTGGTGTCATCGTCCCTGCCCAGCCTCTGCTCTACCTGAGGTTGGAGGCCTACTCTTGTGGACTGGGAGCCCAAGTTTAGAGGCACCCACTCTACATAGCCTCAGCCAGCAGACTGCTCTGTGCGGGACAAACGCCCTATCCATAGCCATGCCGTGGGCTGGCAGGCACTCCTCCTTCCAGGTGCCCTGATCCCAGCTGTCCTCTGAGTTGGGAAGAATTCTTGGTGGGTCCAGGTGGCCTGCGTCCAGCTGTCCTCTGGGCATCAGCGGTGCTTTATGACACAAGGTACCCTGCCCTCAACCACCATCTAGGTCAGCATGCAATCTGTCCAGAACTAGGCATCTTGATATCCCCACCCCACACCACCCCATGACTTCAATAGGCAGTGACCCACTGACCCCTACCAGTTGCTCTGCCTCCCTGACACCTCATTGGTCAGCTTGAGCACAACCCAAGTGCCCTGATAACTCATTGGTCAGCTTGAGCACAACCCAAGTGCCCTGACACCTCATTGGTCAACTTGAGCAAAACCCAAGTGCCCTGACACCTCATTGGTCAGCTTCAGCACAGCCCAAGTGCCCTGACACCTCATTGGTCAGCTTCAGCACAGCCCAAGTGCCCTGAC